AAGTGACATCATGAAGTTTGCAGGCAAATGGATGGAACTACAAAAAAATTATCCTGAGTGAAATATTCCAGACCCAGAAGGACAAACATGTTATATATTTTCTTTTATGTGTATATGAGCTGCGAAGTCAATGATAACCATAAAACCACAGAAAGTTGATATACAGTAAGGGACTAAAAGGAACAAGTAGATCTTGTTAGGAAAGGGAAGTAGAATAAATAGATATGGATAAAAGGGGACAGGACTGGAATTGAAGAGTCAAGTAGGGAATGAGAGGGGAGAGGAGGCTGCAGGAGGGAATACAAGGAAAGACAGCTAAAATTAAGGGACATTTGAGAGGAAGTATGGAAACCTAATAAACAGAAACTTCATAAAATACATGAAGGCAATCTAAATGAAATCACCAAGAAATAAGGAAGACTGGGTCCCAACTGGCCATCTCTTGTCACTAAACAAAGCTTGCAGTACCAGGATTGGGTTATATCTAAATTGATAACCAAAGTGGTCCAAAGGAAACTCCGGACAACCCAGGCTATTGCTATGCCTGTAGACTGTTCTTTACAAATGGACAAGAAAGACCTCATTTCTGACGATAAGACCTACACAATTCACTGAGCACTGAGATATCAAGCTGGTACCTCCATAGAGCCTTCACCTTATGTCCAGCATCTTTGGTCGAGGAAAGTACTCTGCATGTTATAAAAGAGGAAACATAAACAGCAAACCAGGCACAAACTTTCTATCTTCAATGATGTACTTTCTGCAAGATATGAGAGGGCAATGACAGCACAAAGCGTGTGGGCATTAGCTAACCAATGTCTTTATTTGGCTTAAGACCCACTCCACAGGATGGAACCTATACTCAACGCTGCTGGGATGACCAAGAACCTGAGACTAGATACCCCAGACACCCAGGGTAAAATCAAATGCTATTGTTCTAAAAAGGGGGGTGTGTAGCGATAAAATGACTCCTAATGATATTCTGCCATACTCTTAGATCAGCGCCTTGTTCATCCACTTCCAGAGAAGCCTTCTCCAACAGCAGATGGGAACAAATACAGAGGACCACAGCCAGAAATTATGCAGAGCGAGAAACTTGGAACACTTAGTCCTAAATGGGATGTTTCCATTAAATCTCTCTCCTCAGAGCCCAAGGAACACCACAAAAGAGGAGGCAGGAAGAATATAAGAGCCCGAGGGGATGGAGGACACCAAGAAAATAAGGCCTTGTAAATCAACATGAACAAAGCTAATATGACCTCACAGAGACTGAAGCAATGTGCACAGGGTCTGCACAGGTCTGTACCGGGTCCTCTGCCTTTTTATGGCTTCCAGTTGACTGTTTTTATGGAATACCCGAGTATGTGAACAAATGGGTCTCTGATTCTTGTGCCTTCTCTAAGGACCTGTTTTCTTCTGTTGGTTTGTCTTGTCCACCTTCCATGTTGTACTTTTTATATTATCTTGTCATATTTTATTTTGTAATATATTTTAAATGAATTAATGAGTGAGTGAATGAATGAATGAATGAATGAATGAATGAATGAACAAGTGGAATCCTAGCCACTTAGGGTAAAGGTTAACAATAGTCATTTATGATTCCTTGCACTCTGCTGAAGGTTTGGTTATGAGTCTTAGCATCTGCTTTGATATACTGGTAGGTAGAGTTTTTCAGAGGCCCTCTGTGGCAGGCGTCTGTCCTGTTACTTGTTTTCTCCTACTTCCCATATCCATCTCATTTGTCTTTCTAAGTGAGGATTGATCATCTTACCCCGGGTCCTCTTTCTTGTTTATCTTCTTTAGGTGTACAGATTTCAATATGTTTATCCTATCTTACAGGTCTAGTACCCACTTACAAGTGAGTATATACCATGTGTGCCTTTCTCCTTCTAGGATACCTCACTCAGAATGATCTTTTCTAGATCCCAGCATTTGCCTGCAAATTTCATGATTTCCTTGTTTTTGATTGCTGAGTAGTATTCCATTGTGTAAAAGTACCACAATTACTGTATCCATACCTCCACTGATGGACATCTGGGTTGTGCAGGGAATCATATGAAAGAAGGGGGAGTTAGTATGACCTGGAGAGGACAGGAGCTCCACAAGGACCAAATATATATCTGTGCACAGGGGTCTTTTCTGAGACTGTATCTCCAACCAAGGGCCATGTATGGATATAATCTAGAACCCCCGCTTGGGTGTAGCACATGGTAGCTCAGTATCCAAGTATGTTTCTTAGTAAGGTGAACAGGGACTGTTTCTGATATGAACTCAATGGATGGCTCTTTGACCTCCCCATTCCCCCCTCCCAAGGGAGGAGCAGCCTTGCTAGGTCACAGAGGAGGACTTTGCAGCCAGTCCTGAAGATACCTGATAAGCTAGGGTCAGATGGAAGGGGAAGAGGACCCCCCCCCTATCAGCGGATTTGGAAAGGGGCAGGGAGGAGATGAGGGAGGGAGGGTGGGGTTGGGAGGGAATGAGGGAGCGTGTTATAGCTGGGATACAAAGTTAATAAACTGTAACTAATATTAAAAAATTCAATTAAAAATAAAAAGCAAAAAGCCAAAAAAAAAATAGTCATTTATGCCTGCTGAGAGAGGGAAATCAGTTTTCTCCAATCGAGTGACACTGGGCATATCAAGCACTCCATAAGACGTCTCATGTAACAGGCTACACAGTTTGTTTGTTTGTTTGTTTCTTTCTTTTTTTTTTCTTTGTGTGTGTGAGTGATTTTATTTGGAGGGAATTATTTTTTTTCTTGGTTTTGGGGGTTGATTGTATTCTGTCATTCACAATTCAAATTTCTTCTCAGGTCTTTAATCACATCAATGACAGACATGGCTAATGCAAACATCTTTTAGAAAATTAAGTGTGGAAAATATTTGTAATCTGATACCTATTTATCAGAAAAAAAACTATAAAATTAAACATTACTCACAGCCATGACTAATGAAAAATGGTGAGAACCAGGAAGCTTACACAGCTGTTTGACAAAGTCCAGCAGAGCTGAGCCAAATGCTGTTTTTATCATCATGCTGCCTTTCATTTTGGTCTCTGATCTCTATATGTTGCATTTGTGGGGGACCTTTTACAATTATGATTCATTTATGTCTTTTCCCCCAGAAAATTATTTCTGCTCTCAAAGAAATAACCTTATCTGGCCCTACTTGGGAGTCTTCCTTCCATGGAGATTGTGAAAAGCACAAACAAGTTGGCTAGCCCCAGAGTTCTCTTGGTACACCTGCTACTAAGCAAACTCAGAAACAATAGATTTGGCAACAGATTGGATTCAGGCTTCTTTCTATATATATAGTCTACAGGACATTTTATTCCAAAAATAAAAACTTAATAACAAATTAGTTTGTCTTAAACAATCATTGATAACATATATAAATAAATGATATAAAATTAATATAAAAGAAATATAAGAATTTGCCAATCCTAAGAGACTAGCTCACATTAAATTACAGTAAGGTCATTTAAACAGAAAACAAATGAAGAAAGCAAATCAGCCTGCAGCCCAGGAGAGATTTCAAACTTTTAAGTTAGGCTAACTCAAAAGTTGTACTTTTGCATTGTTGTATTTTTGCATTATTCAAGGCTTGGGAACTCATTGAGACTGATTTAGATGTTTTTCTACTGTTTAATGTTTCACTTACCTGAAGAATAGAATGTCATATGTCATAAATGCTTATGTAGTCTAAGATGATTTTGAGATTGATAATACCTGTTTTCTCTGTACTTGTAACACTTGTCCAGGAACAAAATGATATAATCTGTATTTCTTTTGAAATCATTAATTTTTACCTCTTTTGTGGAATATGTTTAAATAAGGAAACATCCTGGTTGCTAATCAGTCAGAGATGCAAGATTTTCCCAGCCACAGTCTCTGACTCATTCATCCATTACTCCCCTCTGCCTGCTTCATATTTCTTCTGTGGGACCTGTCTGCTGGGACCTGTCTGCTGGGACCTGTCTGCTAGGACCTGTCTGCTGGGACTGGCCCCTGACAAAACATATCTTCACTTTGAATTTGTAAATCAGTTACAACCTTTCAGCTGATGAAGAAGACCTCAGGGAACCCTTTATTTTCCTGACAGATGAATAAAACTTGAAAGAATTAATGGAAACTCAAATATGAGAATAAAATAATCAAGGAAAGAAAGAAAGCCCATGGGCCTGCCCCATGTGTTTCTAATAATCTTGGTCTTTAACTCTTTTCTCTTTCTATTTTTTTCTCATATACTCTTTGTACTTTTTCTTTTTTCTTTTTGGTACCATTGGCTTTATTTTTTTTAATTAAATTTTTATTTTTGTTATATTAGTTACAGTTTATTTATGTTGTATTCTTTAACTCTTTTTCATTCATCAAAAGTTTAACGAGCACTCTAAAGTGAGAAATTAGAGTCATATTGGGCATGATGGTATGACAAGTTTGGCTGTGAGAATGTGGCCCTGGTATGCATTTCACTGCACATGTCTTTTAATTCTCTGTAGAAGGTCTGGGTCCCAGCACAGAGTAACCTGTTGGGAAGCAGCCCTGGTTACTGAGCTGCTGTACCCAGGACAGCTCGGGACAATTAATATTGTTGCCTGGCAGGAGTCACTGTTCATCAAATATGCTGTTAGGCTTGGCCATGTACTCACTATGATTTCTCTTCTCTTCTTCTCTTGTCTTCTTTTTTCTTCTCTTTCCTTCTCCTCCCCTCCCCTTCTCTTCCCTTCTTTCCTCTCTCCTCTCTTCTCTTTCTCCTCTCCTTTCTCCTCTCTTCTTTTTCCTCTCCTTTTCCACCCTTCCCCTCCCCTCCCCTCCCCTTGCTCTGGGCCCTCTCTGTGGCACTGACTTTTGAGGGACTTATTTCACATTATGAGTTGAGTGGTATTGCATGTGACTGTGTCTGATAGTTTCTAAAGACTAGAATCTGAGTATGCATTGTAAGTGGATTGTAGACATGAGAGTGAAAGAGGAAGGGAGAAAGAGACACAGAGAGAAGACTCACCAGCATTACACGAACAGAGTCTGCCATGATCTCCACGTAAGGTTTCAGAATGTCATGGTGGAAAGCTGGAGTCAACATTCGTCGGTGCTGGAACCACGGCTGTCCATTCAGCAGAAGCAAACCATACCCTGTACAGAGATGGTTATGTGAGTGAGTGTGTGAGCAGTGGGATTAAAAGACTGGGGGAAACTTGGAGAGGCAAACATTGGAGGTCTTGGAGGAACAGGAAAATAAGTAAGGATAGGAAAAGATTAGTGCTTTTCAATACATTTTCCCCAATTGGCCTGGTATATATGATGTGATCATGATAGCTACAAGATAAATATTTAAAATAGTAAAGGAAGGACATACATGTCAGGCTGAGAATGTTTGTAAATAAGAGGTAAAGAAACAGAAGGGGGAGGTTAATGTCTGGTTACATGTAATGTTTTGTCTTGAAGTTAATGGTCCATCTCCCATTTTTCTCAATGAGTCAAGATACCATTCTTGGCAAACCCAAGAGGACCACATTTGACATTTATATGACTGTACATACCAATCCAGGGGGCTAGAAATCTGTAGGAACCATGAGATTTTGGGTCTGAAAAAAAAGTGAGGCATTGATTAGAAACAAAGAAAGATGAAGTGGTTTGAGATGGCTGCAGATAAGACCAGAGAGAGCCATGAAACCTTGATAACAGCCCGTTGGCAGTTTGTCTCATGCTATCTCCCATTGTCTTCCATCCCTTCCTATCCATCTTGACAGTTTGGCTTAGGAATGCACCCTCCTTGCACCAGAAGCTTAACATTCTCAGGACTAGAATCGTGAGTTAGCAGGAAACATAGATTATTATGTCCTCAGCATCAAGGAGTAAGACAACCTTGTGGCTTTACTGCAGTGGCTAGCAGCTTAGTCATCCACAATACAGGACAGAAACAGTGACAACAGTGAAACCCGAGTCCCTATACATATGAACTCTATTTTCATATATAACTGACTGCCCCAATTCAGTTTTTAAAAAAGGTAAACAAATTGAATCTATATTTTAATGTTGCAGTACTAAGTACCAAACAAATATTAAGTTAGCATTGCTGACCATATGCTAGGCTGTGACCAGGAAAAACGAAAGGTACCATTTTGGCATTAGTAACCAAATCACCACTTATTCCTGTAACTTCATGTGCCCAGGTATAAACCCAGAATGGAAGCTCCACAGTGGTAATGAAGTTTCACTCTCACCTGATCTCCCCAGAATCAACTTCATGTAGTCAGGGTCATACACCTGGAGGCGCACTTTGCTCCCCCAGATCCACTGTGGATAGGCGCTTGGGAAGTTGACTATCTGTTTTAGAACCTCTTGCAGCTCCCGATCCTTTGGGATCTGATATTGGTAAAAAAAAAAAAAAAAAAAAGAATCACTGAAAATACTTTGTGTCAGCTGTGATGATTTATGTTAGTAATCCTAACACAACACTTGGGAGGCTGAAGCCAGACGATCTCTGTTGGTATGAAGTCAATTTAGTGAGTTCAAGGCCAACCTGGGCTACCTTGCAAGACATTGCCACAGAACAAAACAAAACAAAAACAAACAGACAAAACCTCAAGAGTAAATTAAAAAAAAAAATCTTTTGATTTAGTTGTTGGTCCTAAATGAAGGGCAGAACAACCATGGGAATATAGTGAGGATGATTTAACAGAACCCAGGACTGGAGCACATTTTGATGGCCTCTCTATGCAATCATCTTTGCTCTCTCCTGGGACCTGATCTGAACCAAATGCTGTGGTCCTGTTAGGTGAAGCTGTGTTCCCCAGCATCTGGCCCCACAACCTCAGCTCAGATTCCACATACTCTGTCTCTTCTTAAATGTGGTCAATATGCAGCAGTTGTCACATGCCTCTCCCTGTAGCCTTTTACCTACTTCTGTATTCGTCCCCTCAGAGGTGACAGTTTAAGCCCTGCTGAGACCCTAGGCTGCTCTTTCTTCTCGTTTCTGGGAGGCTGTACACTTGTTCTAGGCCCTTGGTTGGGCCTTGAGGTACACAGTTTGCTAAGCAACATGGAGCACAAACTACAGGGTATGCAGGAGGAGAGTTCATCACTAAACTGACTTTGAATAATAGTGCATCTCTAGCAAGGGACCCTCACATCCGAAGAACAACTTTCCTGACCCTAAGGATTTAAACCTATAAATCATCCATGCAGGCAGCTCTTTCAGTCAGTTGCTTCACCCAAGAGCAAAGTGAGTCCCTTTCGCATATTTGCTTCCTCCTGTGATTCTTGCCTGTTGATAACATACACAGGACAGATTCTCCCACACTGGTAGCTATGTTCCCAGACTATCTCTGTGCCAGGAGGGGAGTACGACAGAGAAACGGGGCCAGGGAGCCACTGAGAAGCCAGGTTTTTAAGAACAGATGAGGCTGCAGGAGTTGCTCAGCCTGGAAAGAAGAGAGCTCAGGAAGGACCAACCACAACCTCCCAAGTCCAGGTCCCTCAGAGCAGATGATTGGTCTGCATAAGCATGCAGCAGAGCTCACAATAGCATGACCAGGCTCCTGTGAGCAGTGAGTCCCCGTTGCCGGAGTGAGCCCAGCCTGAATCTCCCATCATGAGCCCCTTGAGGAACCTGTGCTTGTTTTGTAGCAAGCTCTGTTCTGTAAGATTTACAGCTCTTCTCTGAAAGGCCCATCCTCACTGCTCCCCCACCTGCCCTTCTCTCTTCTTCCTACCTTGTGTCCAAAGAACCAGTGAGAAGGTGGGGACGGGAACTGCTGGGTAGCTCTGAGTAGCCATTGCCTCTGCAGGTAGAACTGGGCTGCTTTGAAGAGCAGCAGGAGAAGGCTGAGCACGGAGGCCACTTGGAGAAACTCATAGATGTTTCCTATGAGGAATCTAGTTGAGCTCAGAGCAAAGACACTCATGATACAACAGCTTCTGTCTGTCCCTCACATTCACTGAAATTCCTCATGCCTGCAAGCCTAACGAAGATTGCCCCACCTACTTGTGGGAGGGAGATGGGTGTGAGCACAGCTTAATTTCAAGAGCAGGCTTTGATTAACCTGAACAGCCTACTTTGGAAAACAGTGAAATAAAAGACATATCAAATGGCATGGTATCACTTTATCCACATAGCTCACAAATGTTTGTGAAAGAGCTATAAAAAAAAAAAAAAAAAAGGCTGAATTGAAAGCTGAATTCTAGGAGCTCATGGCTTAGTTTACCAAAAGTTCATTAGAAGTGACTGTTTGCATGATTTTCAAGACTTTAGGGATGAAAAAAAATTATGACAAAGAGGTAAATTGAAGGTTTAGGAAAAAGTTATTGAAGTATATGGTAGGATTTCTTACCGGATGTCAAAGCTATCTCTCTGAGGAACCACTGAAATGCTCCCCTGGTCTTGTTGTATTCACCATCCAGCCATGACCTACAGTGACTGTGCTGGTGAAAGGTGCATTAAACTTGGATTCTGGAAGCTTAAGACCCAGGTCAGGCTCACTGCATTTGGAGCCAGCAACTTAACCTCTCTAAGCTCAGCGTCTTCTCTTGTAATTTGAGACCTTAATCCCTTTCTAGACATCTAATAGGATGCACTGGGTTGTTTTTTTTTTTTTTTTCATCATTAAACAAATTCCACAAATACTTATTGGACAGTCTTACAATCAATGGCAGAAAAGAGTATTGATCCGATAAAATTTGATAAGGTTGTAGTGGAGGGATGAAATGTTGTGTATTAGTCACTTTCCTGTTACTATAATAAAATAGAGTAACCAAGGCAACTTACAGAAAGAGGATTCATTTGGGCTTATAGTTCTAGAGAGATACATGCCTCTTACAGCAGGGAAGCATGGTGGATAAACCAAGAAGCTGAGAATTCAGATCTTCAGCTACCAGCACAAAGCAGAGGGAAACAGAGGTGGGTGGAGACTCTGCGTTCTCAAAGCCCACTACCAGGGATGCATTTCTCCCAGCAAGGAGGCTTCACCACCTCCCCAAACTGCACCATCGAGTACAGACGACTGTTTTTGAATATCTGAGCCTATGGAGGACAGTTCTCATCTAAACCCCAACAAATGTCTTCCACACAAGAGAAAAACTAAAACAGAACAGAGCCTTAAAGGTTGAATAGGAAATCATCCAGTCAAGGAATAGTCACCAATAAAGTCAAGCAGACCAAGAAATAAAAATATGTTCCTATTCAGGATCTTCACTCTCACTTTTGAATGATTTTCTAAGGTCAACAAGGAAAGTTCAAAAGCAAATGATATTCCAGGAAGAATCCCATGGGAAGCCATCTCTGTCGAGACTGCAATTTTGCCTGCTTCTCCCCCCCAAAATGCTTTTTCCTAACACACATTCTTCTTCATTGCCTTACATTTGACAGCTGTCTTCTTTCTTCTCTGATTTCTGAACTCTGTCAGAACCCATGACACTATATATACCTTAATCCACTCAATACTTCTCAATTTTGAGATTATTTTTCATCTTGAGTTTTTCCTCAAACTCAGTCTCATATCTGCTAACAAGAGCTGAACATACTTTGTTTAGAGTAACAATCAGCTTTTATTTGTTTTCTCTCCTAATTAGCCCACAAAAAGACACATAAAAACTTAAACATCTCGGGACCGGGAGGGGAGGAGGGAGGGGCTTATGGGGGGTACAAAATGAATAAAGTGTAATTAATAATAATAAAAAATTGCTTTCCCTTTAAAAAAGACCACTATGGAACTAAGCTCCATGTTATCAAATAGAAATAAGATTCTGAGAAAGAAATGCCAAACAAACAAACAAACAAACAAACAAAAAAAAACTTAAAACATCTCAATAAAAAAGAAAAAAAAATCCCAGGATCTTTCAGCTGTTAAGATCTGCAGCCAGGCACTCTGGGTCGAAAAAGTTTAATGCTAACTATTAATGTGGAGAAAGTGAGGACTAGGCTAAGCAATTGGTCTGTGTAGCACCTCTGATTATAACAGGATTATTCCATGTCGTGGTGTTTCAAGTGGTCCATGGCACATTATATACTCTCTGTACTGGCACAAATGTAGGCCTCTCTATCTGGAGAAGCTTCTACGAGAAGATTTATGGCAAACCATGTAGCTGGATGTGCACAGTCAGTGGACACGATGTTTGTGGACAATTCTGAAGGGCTTTAGGAAACCTTACAACTAAATAACAAAAACAGAGTGTAGGGGCTGGAGAAATGACTCAGTGGTTAAAAGCACGGACTACTCTTCCAGAGGACCTGAGTTTGAACCCCAGTAACCCCATGGCAGCTCACAACCATCCAGTTCTATAGGAGTTGATGCCCTTTTCTGGTACAGACACACATGTAGTCAAAACATCCATATACATAAAATAAAAAAATAGAAGATTCAAAGCAGAGTATAGAATCGTGTATAGACTGCGCATAGGCAAATTAAAATTGCAACTAAGCATCATATACCCTACGTTTTCCATAGAATGCTGTGCAGCTCTGTGCCATCTATAATGACTAATTTGTAGAATGAAGAAAACGAAATGCATAAAGCTTAAGACTGGTTCAGTTTCAGATGCTGCAATTTAAAGGAAAAGAAATGTTTTTATTCCTGCAAGCTTCCTGGTTTGTTTTATCTGCCAAAGGTAAAGGTAGGGCCAGCCTGTTTCCAGGGCAGCAGTTGAAGAGTTTTTTTTTTTCCTGTGGGTAGATCATATTACGTTCTTGATTTCTGAGTTTGGTAAAATTGAATTTGATACTAGTACAATTTTACATCACTCATCTACATTTATGTCTCTCCAAAAGCCAAATATCTCAAATAAACCTCTTATTTAAAATGTTTAAATTAACTTTTGATTTTTATTTTTCCAAAATGAACAAGTCCCTGGTAAAAACTGTACACAGAAAGAGAGAGCTTAATATAATTATGTACCTGTGAAATTACCAATAGGATTGACAGAAATGCCTATGAAATATTTAATGTCAAAGAAGCTTACATGCCACTTTAAAGAAAAACTACAGGAAGATAAAAATCTATGCACATTAATATTTCAGCATTTTGAAGCCACTAAATATACTGATTTTTCTCCTGAAGCCACAATATAATATATAATACATTCGACAAGTATGGGCAGATTACATGAATAAAATAGACATTTTAAAGAACATTATTAGTTACACAATGAAATAAATGAGCAACAGTTTTGGTTTTGTTCCTTTTTCTTTTCTCCTTTCTTTCTTTCTTTCTTTCTTTCTTTCTTTCTTTCTTTCTTTCTTTCTTTCCTTCTATCTTTCTTTTTTGAGGCTGGGTCTCACTATGTAGCACTGGCTGTTCTGGAATTTATTATATAGACCAGACTGGCCTCAAACTCACAGAGATCCTCCCTGCTCTGCCTTCCCAGTGCTCAGATTAAAGGTGTGTGTGTGTGTGTGTGTGTGTGTGTGTGTGTGTGTGTATGTGTGTGTGTGTGTGCCACTACGCCAGCCAATATATTCTTTCTTGTTTGTTGGTAATAGCTCTGATCTTTAGCTTTGGGTATACAATCTGAAGTAAGCTCAGAGACAAAAGGTGGGGGAACTGTGGGTGAGGGGCAAGAAGGAGCTCTAGAGATAGTAAGTGCTATGAAGAGGAAGTGGGGAAAAAAGAGACTTCAAGTAGGAGGGAGAGGGAGGACAATGAAAAAGGGATAAAGGAGAGAAAATGGCGCTAGGGGTGTAAGAGAAAGCCACAGGAAAACATATTGATCCATTGGCTTGCATTAAACACACACACACACACACACACACACACACACACACACACAAATCTGTGGGCGCTTTCTTGGTGCTTTTGTCCTTTTCGGCACCCGCTGCTGCTTGTGATAATTACCTTAGTTGTCTACTTGTCTGTTTTTCCCTCTTCTCCAAGAAATAAAAGAGAAAATCATGTTTTGTCATTGTCTATAAAAAGCCCTGGCTGTGCAGGCCTCACAGTGGGACAGGGCACTTGAGGCAGTGTCTGTAATACAACTAGCAGGCACTATCCACGTTAGGAACGACCTTTCATGTGACAAGAAAGTGTTTCCTGGACACAGTGCAGAGAGAGAGAGCTGTTGGCATGTGTCGGGTAGAGATAGGGTTGCCAGCTGGAGTTGTCAAGCCTACAGAGGAATAAGAAGAGAGCAATGAGGAATGAGAAAAGCAGCTTCGGGGACACTGGTACAAAGCTTGTCTAAAGATGTAAGAGAAGGGAGCAAGGCCTGAAAATCCTCCACCCTCCTTAAGCAGAGACATAGAGCCTGTCTGGCGACCCTGAGCTTCATGGTTTTTCTGTTATGAATCAGACAGACCCAGTAGTAACAGCCTCGCCAAGGTTCCCCTTGGCCCGGGCTTTTCATTGTAGGCAGTTCATTGGCTTCTTGAGTACCTTTGCCCCAACTGTATACAGCTATGGGGTAAAGAACTTCCAGCAGAGGATGAAGCTTTCTTTCAAAAAGGAGTTCAAGACCCATTACTGTAAAGAACCTGTCTGGCGGGGGTGGGGAGGTTGGAGGATGGGGAGTAAGGAGGGTGGGGAAGCATCAGGTTATTTTCCGCCCTGGACAGTCAGCTATTGAACGGGTCTTGTTGTCTACTGAAACCCCTACCAATACAGATATGGTACATGTAATGGTTTTGGTGTAACAATCTTTACGGTGACTTTTAAATTGATTCTGGATTTGCTAGAACAGATTCTCTCCAACAAGTCAGGGGGCCAGAAAAGTGGAGGTGAGGAGAAATCAGGTATACCCAGATGAGGATAGGACTTCCTCCGAGAGAAAGGCTCAAGAAACACGTGAAAAAGAGATCAGGGTCTATGCCCAGACTCTGTGACTAGATGACCGATGAGTGTAAATGGCTTCTTCCTCCCATGCATCTGATGAGTGAGCGCCTCCCATGCAGGCCCTCTCTTGCCAGCTTTGATGTTGG